GGGTCTGCGTAGAGACATCAAGGTAAACGGTCCGGGGGGGTCAATTCTCCGCGCCATCCAAAGGCGACGAACAATCTAAGAACCAAGCTTACACAACGACGAGGAGACACGAAACGCTATCCTACGAGAGGGCCGCGTCGAAGGAGTAAGTCGCATCGCACGCGAGCGAGGCACACACCAAGCACCCCCTCCCCCCCCCCCAGAACACGAAAACGATACATACCCGCGGTGCACTTGTCTTTGATCACGTACTATCGTGACACTCATGTCCAAGACTCTCACCTCGCACGTGTAAGATGGTTGCTACCTTGTTACCTACCTGTCTGAGGAGCGAGATGAGTAGGTGCACCACGTCGGAGAGGACACTTCCGCCAACCGACTCCAGGTCCACGGCCGTTACCGTTACGGGCGGGTCCGGTTCCTGCGCGACGGATGAAGGTTCCTAGGGAAAGGGGGTGGTAGCGACAGCGACAACATGGCTGACGGGGTGATCGGAGGCCAGGCGGCGCGCGCGATGATGCCTCGACAGCAGCTCGGGCAGGGCAGGCACTGCTGTACATAGCAAGACGACCGCCTAATGCAGACGTTGTGCGCTGGTCCAAGAAGCGCGCGACCCCACACAACAGCCCTCGCCTGGCAAGATCCGCCGACCATGAGACACTCAACACACAACCAGACTCATGGACCACCCTGAGAAAACAAGGCGGTAACCCATATAGGCAAAAGCAGGGGGAGCGGGTGCGCGTGTGACGCACCTTGGCAGACGAAGCAGCGGCAGCACTCGCGCCCAGCAGCCTCGGCAGAGGGACCTCCTTGACCGGTGGAACCGCCGCCGCCCCCGCCGCCGCCCCCTCCGCGGCTGCCACTAACAGGTGCGGCGGAGAGGCGTGGAAGAGGGTGGCGGGGGACCATCTCTCGCCGGGAGGGCAGCTCTGTGCGCCAGAAAACGGGGGGCAGAAACGAGGCCATACACGTTAGGGGTCGGCGGTGATCGCGTACGGTGACGGAGTTGGTGGGAAAGCAGAAACAAGCCGGAAGGTAGGAAGGGATAAGATTGAGACGAGAATAACAACGGTTTCACAGAGACAACCAACACCAACAAAAACGGAAGAAACGGGGTACAGCAGTACTGTAAGGGATGGAAAAGTCGGGTCCGGGGCAACAGCAACAGCTACGGGCGATACGATACAAGGTAGAACTCCTCCACCCCACACACACGAAGGACGACGGCCAGGGAGAACGATCCAGAGAACGCAGACACAAAAAAACACAATAACACACATGTCTCGCCTTTAGTCACAGCTGTGTTGTTCATTCTGCCTTCGACAGATTGAGGGAGGCACGCATGTATATAGGCTAGCACGCGGGCAAGCGTATGATGCGAGCCACGCCAACACTACACACACACACACCCGACACATCCGCACGCAAGAGCTTTTTAGCTGTTCTACACCGCGAGAAACGCTCCGACTGCCAACACGCCACACACACGTCCGCAAGGAGGGCCTAAATAGAGCCATGGCTCATCTCTCTGCCCAGAGACTAAATAACCTGTACCGGCATGTCTACATCGCAGCATCTTTGCAGGTGGCCCTTACTTCTACCACAAGCCGGAACAACAATACTCTGGACGCGCGCGCACCTCAAAGTAAGAGGCGTTGAGTTGGAAGAGGCGGTGGAGCACCCTGGACAGCAGCGCGGCGCTGAGCGTCCACGCCTCCAGCCTCGACGCCTCCGCCGCGCCCCCCGCTTCGTTCACGGCCTGGACCTTTCTGCGGACAACCTGACACAACAACAACAGCAGCGGCGGCGGCAGCAGCAGCAGGGATATGTTAGTGGTAAGTACGCATACGGGCACGGACGAGGCCCGCGGTCAAGCGAATCGAAGCCCGCAAATCGTGCACGCACGCACGCACGCACGTACACACACCCAACACACACAAAAAGAAACTTTTGATCGAGAAGGCGACCGAATAAAAAACACAAGTATAAAAATAGCTGAAACAGAGGTGTTTTTTCGTCTTCGTGCGTGTTTAATGAAACAATTTCGTGAAAAAGAAAGGAGGCGTAGATCGCACGAGTGTTCATTGTCCAGCTGGAAAGACTCAGCCACTGAAACCCGGGGGAGGGGGGATCCAGAACGTCCCCCCCCCCACCCTTCGGGACCAGAGAGGACCATCAAACCCAGCGGTAGGAGCCCGAACACCATTCGAAAGATGAACGGAAAACCCTCGACATTCTCAAAACAGCGCTCAGGGATGGAACCAAGATGTCCCCCTGAAAAGACTTGTCGCCCAATCGATTACCATGCCACACGCGGTACACGGGTATCTAAGGCGGTACGGTATGCGGCGCGGGTCGTCGCACCTCCAGCGCGGCGACGAGATGCTCCACGCCCCCGAGCCGGCAAAAGCGCAGCACCCAAGCCAGCACGGACTCGACCGACTTGGGCCCGGACAGGTTGGCCCTAGACGTGCAGAACGCGTCTACAACCTGCCATCCAGCATGACACGAGCGGCACGTTGTTGGACCAAAAATACATTTCAGATTCAAAGGAAGCCGCAAAGTTGGAGACAAGATAAAAAAGAAAGGAAACACGCGTGGAGATCGCTCAGCGAGCAAGGCACTAGAGTTGATTCAAGAGGAATACTATCTTCGCTTCAAGAGGAAAAGTCAAGACACGCCCAAAGCAACCGCTGCAAGCCGGTATCCACCCGCCACCTCCACAATCAGCCCACCCTGCCGTGCACCACAACAGGAGAGGCACGCCGTTTACACCCAGCAAGCAGCCTCTCGCCACCGCAGAGGGTCAAGTCGGGGTTTCCGTATCACCTGGAGGGCGTACACGAATCTGTAGCACCGGCTGGGGTCGAGGAGCGCGTCCCAGCTGCTTTCCGCCTTGTGCAAGCTCCGGAGATCTCGGAGAACGGTCGGGTCCATCGGAAGCGCCTGTGGGTCGAGACGTGAAACGAACCACGCAGAAGAACACCGCCACGATGAACCACACACACGCACGCGTTAAGGGGGTGGCCGGGGGGGCACGCAACACGCGTTTTATCAAGCGGAAAAACATACCCTTAGCATCCCCTCCAGCGCACGCATGTCCACGAGCCGGCGTGAAAAGAAAACAACAAAAAAAGGTTCGAACGAGCAATCGTAATCGTCCCGTTCCCGTTCCGTTGCGCCAACCACCTGAAACTTCCAACGCTCCCGAACGGGGTGGTGGCGGCGGCGGCGGTAGCAACCCCGTCCCCGTCCCAACTGGACTCGGCAACAACAAACAAGTCAGATACAAACGACGCACCTGAAGGATGTGCCACAAGGACGCGTTGTAGTCGACAGCCGGCTCGATGCCCCCCCCCCTCGCCGCTCCCCCCCGCCAAGCCCCTTTGCTTTGTCCCGCTACACTGCCGGCGCCTCTTCGCCGTTCTGCCGCACACTGGCCGCCGTCGCGCAGGCCGCCAGACCCCCAAGCTCTCGCCTCTCCCCCGGGTTCGTGGGAAGCAACGGCGGTGTTGGGCGGCAGTCCACGACGCGAGTCCCCTCCCGGGGAGCCCCCCCCCCCTCCCCCCCCGCCGCCGCCGCCGTCCATGCCCAGGTCGAGCTCCAGCATGTCGAATAGCTGGTCCATGTGCTGCGGTTCGCCCACCGTCTCAGCCGCCGCGGTCGCGCTAACGCCATCGTCCCCGCCGCCGCCGCCGCCGCCGCCGCCGCCCGCAGCGGTACCACTAGGGGGGTCGCCGTGTCCTGCGGCGGTGGTACCGCCAGACGCGGCTGCTGCGCCCCCCCTCCCGCCGTGCGCCGAGGCAAGCAGGCTGCTGAAGGAAGGCAGCGACGGCAGCGCGCCAACCATCGTGGCCGTGGTAGTGACGGCGATCCCGCCTCCGCCGCCTCCACCGCCTCCACCGCCCGTCGCGCCGGAAGAAGAAGCGGAGGAGGAGGACGGGTCGGCCAGCGACATCTCCACCTTGTGGGGCAGCGGTGGCGGCAGCGGCGGCGGCGGCGGCGCCCGGAGCTCGCGAGAGCTC